GTGTGTGTGTGTGTGTGTGTGTGTGTGTGTGTGTGTGTGTGTGTGTGATAGATGAAGAGGGGTAAAGAAAAAGAAAGAGAGTCCCTCCATCCTCTTCCGTCTCAGAGGATTGAGAAACTTTCAGTGGCTGTCTCTCTCGGCGGTAATGGATAAAGCGTGTAGTGGAAGGAAGAAGGGAGGGTCGGCCCAGGCTATAGCTCACCCTCTTATCCTTCTTTCTCTCACTTCATCTCTCTCTCTCTCTCTCTCGCTCTCTCTCTCTCTCACACAGCCTCCACTCTCTTCACCCTGTCCTCCCACCAGCACTTTGAAATCTGCAGTCTGCACTCCTCTGTTTGGTTTCAGGCTCATGATTTTTAATGTATTAAAATCCCACCCTGGCTGGGAGAGTGTGTGACTTAGAAGATATTTGATGCTGTGAGACCACAATGCATTTTGTGTTTGTGCAGCAAATTGTTTTATAGTATGCAGCATCTGTAGAGCGATGGTATCGTAGCTTTGTCCTGCCACTAGAGTGCACTATAGTCAAAGTCTGTGCATCCAGAGGAGCTGATATAGTACAACTGAGTACACACAATCACTAGACACCATCCATGTGTATTTCTGGTGTGGAGCTGTTTTTTTATGGTTTGTGCAGACCCATTAGATTCAATTTAGGGAAATGTTAACAATGCAATAATATTTTAAACAATAGTGGGCATCAAAGGTTGAGGGAGGTCTTATTGTATTTCAACACAATATAAAGCCAGCTCCGTAAAGAAATGTTTTTTAACCATACAGAAAGTTAATGACAGAGAATGCATCATTTTAACTATTACCTATATTTTTTACATATTAATAGTAGTATAACTATTGCATTATCTGGCCTTAACATTCTGTATATTAAGATGGATAAACTAAAGACACACATGTGCTCATCTCCATTTTTTTGTGTGTTCTATCAAAGGAGAAAAATGACCAGTTATTAACCCTGGCCTGAGGGGGAATGTGTGTGTATTGACCCATGTGGTGGAAAGCTGCTGGACTGATCTGTGTTAGCTCAGAAAGTGTTGCAGCATGTATTAGGAGGCAGCATGTATTAGCAGGCGACCATTATATTATTGATATGATACATTAAAATGATGATTTTAATGTAAAGTGTCTTTGAGTACTATGAAAAGCGCTATATATGTATATATAAAATGTATTATTATTATTATTATCCATCTTATTTTGCTCTATATTATTTAACATGTGTATTTATTGATTGGGCTCTTGCATATATAGTAGAGTCATATATATTTTTTAATTTTTTATTTATTGGTTACTTGTGAGTCTGCTGGTGCTGTGATAGTGGGCTGCAGCATTGCTGGTGCTGTGATAGTGGGCTGCAGCAGTGCTGGTGCTGTGATAGTGGGCTGCAGCAGTGCTGGTGAGATGGTGCTGTCATCTTGGTTGGTCTGTGTTGTTAGGTAACTAAACTAAAAATAACTTACAGTCTGGTGTTGAAGAACTTTGACCTCAACCCCATCTAACACCTTTGGGGATGAACTGGCACATAGACTTCATCATCAACCAATAACGCCCTTGAATGGGAGCTAATTCTTGCAGCCAGGTTCATAAATATGTTGGAAAGATTTCTGGAGTGAAGGCTTTTATAGCAACATATTAAAGCCCATGGAGTGAGATAATGATTAAGATTAAGACAATCACATATGGGTGTATATAGACTGCTTGTCCACATATGTGTCCACATACCCCTTCTACTGTCTAGTGCATGACTTAGAAACACAGAAGTAGTGGCAGACTCAAATTCCTGAATGCATGCATGGAAGATACCTCAAAGTAAAGCTCCCTTTGCTCTCTCCATCCCCCTCTCTCTCTCCATCTCCTGTGTCTTTCTCAATGATATTCTGAGGAATATTCCGTGTCTTGTCCTGAATGTTCTCTCTCTCTCTTTCCCCTTCAGCTTGATTCAATATGAATGAGTCCCCCTGTCTCCATAAGCGGGGCGAGAGCTGCGGGACGAGCGGCGGGGGGGAGGGGGTGTTTAGCTCCTCGATGAAGTCATGAGGCTATATTTGGAGCACTGAGCAAGTCCGGATCCGTGCACACCCGTGTGTGCGTGTACACACGTTTGCATGCATGTGTGTGTGACGGCACATGGGCTTGAATTGATGAAGTCATAGGTCTATATCTGGAGCACTCTGTGTGTATATGTGTGATGGTGAAAAGCGGGTGTGTCTGTGTTTTCCCCCTCTTCTCCATCCCCTTCTTCTGTCTGTAATGCTCTTGCGCTATTTCCACTCTTTGTCTCGGGCGCTCTTTCTGCCTCCCTCTTGTGCCATTGGCTGCGCTTTGCCTCTTCTTCTTTCTGCGTCTCTTTGTTTGTCCCATCGTTGCACTTTAACGGGGTGTAAGCCTTCCCTGTTTTTTAAGCTTCAGTAAGACAAGAGAGGGACAAATATAGCGGCAACTATGGAAGAGGAGAAGATACTCTAGGCAAATAGGGAGAGTGCAGAAAAAAAAAGTGGCTGTGCTTTTGAGAGAGAGTGGGGTATAAACAGAGCGATGGAGAGCCAGTGAGGGAGGGAGAGGCAGTGCATGCTTCCCTGCTCGCACTGAGCAGGACACGGCAGGACTTTGCAGGAGGTTCTTCGGACCCGGCGAGCAAAGCAAAGGAAGCCGACCGTAGAGGAAGATAGGGAGAGAAGAGGTGTAGCAGAGGGAAGAGGAGAAGGAGGAGGAGAGGGAGAAGCAGGGGGAGGGGAAGGAAAGAGGGAAAAGGGAAGGGGAAAAGGAGCCCCAGAGGATTAAAAAAAAAGAAAAGAAGAAGAAGAGGAAAGGAGAGGAAGCAGACAGGAAGACTTTACCCCCGGGTACTGTGGCTACAGCAATGTCACCGTGGTTTTGGAGCTAACGAGGCAAGGAAGTAGTCGTCTGTAACGTGGCGAGCATGTCTGCTTGTGTGAGTACCCCTATCTGTTATTCATTCACTCCTCTAGTTCTCCTCATCCTTCCTTCCATCCAGCCAGCCAGCCAGCCAGCCAGCCATCTCTCTTTCCATCCCAACATTACCCCACGTCTTTCTCCTCTGTTGGTTTCCAACCGCTCTGTTTGTGTAGAGGACACAGCGCACAGCTCCCAGCCCTACTTTCATTCATTTTTTCACTCATTTACTTTTCAACCTCCTGCTGTGTGTTTGACTTCAAGCTATGTACTTTGTCTCTCTCCCTCCTTCCCTCCTTCTCTCTTGCTCGCTCTCTCTCCCTGGCTGGCTAGCTGTCAGGTGTAGGGACGACGGCTGGCAGCAGCAGGTTTGCACCCGTAGTCACTGAGACATGAGCAAGACGTTCAGGGAGCCAGATAAGAAAGGAAAAAAAAAAAACATAAGAGTGAAAGAAAGAAAGGAGGAGAGAGAGAGATGAAGTAAGCAAAAGGGTGACTGAGAAAGACAGGATTATAGAGTGAGGATGAGCTGTGGGGATTTTTCAAAGTGCATGTCGCAGCTATTTGGAGCTGTTTGATATTGCACTTGGTTTATGTCTGTGTGTGTTCTGCAGAGCCAAAATATTACTACATTTGACATATACGTCTTGCACTGCATTCTGAATTCGTTAAAGTGAGGATAGATGCCTAGGTGAGGGTGTGTGTGTGTGTGTGTGTGTGTGTGTGTGTACATGATAAATGCCTTCACTGTATAAATATGTGGACTTTCCCCCCTCTCTCTCCTTGAGTATCTCCCATAACAAGCAGAGGAGGAGGAGGAAAGAGGAGGATGAGGGATGAGCATAGAAACACTAAGCGAAGAACAAAAAGCCAGAGTGAAATGATTTACGACATTAGGGGGGCAGGTCCTGCTTGTTGTCTTGTCCTTGGCGTGTGACACTTATTCAGATTGAGACTTTGGTGTTTTAAAACTGAGGGC